AATCAATCAATCATTCTTTTTTTTTTTTGAATAAAAAATGAAATAAATATTTTTTTTTTGTTTTGTTTATCACCTTTGTCCCGTTAATCGTAATAATTTAAAAAAAAAAAATTAAAAAATTTGAATTTACTTTGCAAAGTAAAAAGAAATGAATTTTCCAACAGCAATAAGAAAATTATTCATTTTTTTTTTTTTTTATATATTAACAGAAATAATAATAATTTTAATTTTTTTAAAATTATAATAAACATATAATATATTTATATATAATATTATTTATTATTCGTAATGCAAAGAAAAAAAAAAAAAAAAAAAAACTTTTTTTATTTTAATAATTTTTTTTATATATAAATATGATTCTCAAAATTTACTGACGAAGAAGACTAGATGTGCATTCATTTTATATTCCATTCATTTGTATAATAATTCACATTATAAATGCACTCAATTATTATTATTATTATTTTTTTTTTTTCAATTCAGTATAACCTAATTTACACTTATTATTTTTTAAATTTAAACTGTATTCGTATATTTGACTATTTACTCAAATGTAAATTCTTCGGAAAGGGTAATAAAATAATTATCGCTTGTTTTTCAAGAATATAAATGCTAGCTGTGGTCAGTTTCTAAAATAATTATTACGGATTGAACGCGACAAATTTGATTAACGTATTCTGCATCTCCCTCGGCGGTAGCTGCTGCCACAGAGAGTCTAGAACCTAAATCGTATGTTCCCGGAGCGCTAAACACGGCCGACAGTACAATGTATGTTTGATCGTGACCATCAATTTTTAACAATGAATTTAATCTGTTTGTCCAACTGAAAGTTGACGAAGAGTAGGGAGTGTATAAATGCGTTTTTGAAACTGGAGGTTTCGACAATCTTGAATCCAACGAATTCACGACAACTTTCACGGGAAAATCCACGCAATTTTTCAATATCAATTTCATGTCTACGCGACATATTCTGAAAATTACACAGGCAAATAATTAAAAAAATTTTTTTACGACCGTATTTCGAATCGAATGCAAATTTAAAAAAAAAAATATTTTTTTCCAATACCTGTTTTTTTGAAAAGAATGCGTTATTTGATGCTCGTGAACTAGGCTGTAGGAAAGAGCGTTTTCCAAATGCGTCGTTTTTACGCCTTTGTTACTTAATTTAATCGGTCTTTCCGGTCCAAATATTTTAAGAGTTTCGGTGGTGCCTAAATTTAATTCCGATACCATTTCAAAAGGCCAAGTTTTCGTATCGCCCAATTGATTTAAAATCACCAAACTCTGACCGGAAGTGCACCTTGTCTCCACGTCATTTTCCATTATTTTTGCCTGTTTTTCGTGCAAAGCAGTAAAATAATCATAAATAATTATGCGCACGTATAATTTTTTTTAATATCACATCAAATTGATTGATAAAACAACTCACACTCCATCTCAACCCTAAAGGCAATTGAAAAAGTTCGGTTGAATTTTCTTTCTTTTCGCCGAAAATATCCCATTTAAAAAAATCGTAATAGGGTTGCTCGCTTCCCGGGGAAACTAAATTTTTTTCAAAACAACAATCCGTTACTGCTACATCTTCGGTCGAAGTGCGAAAAGCCCTGACAAGAAGATAGTAGCACTCTTGGCTTTTTAATTTTAATTCTGAAAGTCGTTGAAAGAAAGATCAACATCGACAAAAAGTATACTTATCCCTTACAAAAAAAATTTTTTTCTTTTTTTAAAAACGCACCTGAGGAATAAACAGCTTTTTCGCTAAGCATCCATTTTGAACTCACAAGCGACATTTGAAGCAAAGAAATAACGGTATCAATCGAATCGTTATTATCATTTAAATTTTTTACTGCGACACTTATATTCATCGTATCCTTATTTTCACACAAAGTACTTCTAGACGCGACAGCGGAAAATTGAAGTGATCGATATATGTTCATAACTAAGGAATATCTACTAACCCTATGCCTAACAAAACAAAATCCTTTTTTTTGGTAATTTTCGCCTCATTAAAAATAAAAAATATTTAATACGTGAATTGTTTGACTCACCCTAATCCATCTCCTTTTTCCATATTTTCATAGTAAAATAAGGTGTCCACTTTAGCCAAACCTTTTTTATCCGGAGCTCGAACCCAAAAAGGTATGAACATTTCTTGATTCGCATTCAGCAGCCCATCTTTCAACGAAATTTTTATGACCTAAAAAAAAAAAAAATTAAGACAAACAATTTAATCACAATACAATCAAAGAATTATAGTTTATGTAACAATTACTCACTCTATATAAATTGCTTTTTTCTTTTAAAAAATTCTGTTCCCCGATAAAATCATCTAAAACAGGTTCGTGAACAGTCCTTTCTTTTTCTATTAAATCTTGAGGTATGGATAAAAATTTCGGTGAACTTATGACCATAAACAAATTTTTTAAATGTCCATTTCCGATGTTGACTAATTTTAAACGACCCTCTTGAATTTCTCCGCTAAGCATTTCAGACTTGATGCTTGTTTCTAAATTTATCTGTGAAAACCAGGGGGGGGGGGGAAATAAAACTTTTTTATCTTTTTTTTTTTTTTTTTTTTTGAAACGTGAAATAATTTTTAGTGTTAATCTCACCATTAAAAATGGAGCCGTTTTAACAATTTTTATTTCCAATCTTTTATCTTTTTCGAAAACGGTTTCGCTTTTGTTATTTTTGCTTTTTTTCTTCGGCCCTCTAACCATGAATTTTTGTTTACCCATAATTTCGGTGATTGTGGTGGATGATTGCTGATTATTGAGGGGTGAAGAAGAGTATGACAATGAATAAAGCATTCCTAAAATATCTATTTGACCCGGACAGAGAGGAATTAAACTAAGTGTTACCTAAAATAAAAAAAAAAATTAAGGTATGCGTAAAAGTCAACTGAAAAAAAAAAAAAAAAAATGTCACAAAAAAATTTTTTTTTTTTTTTTACTTCTTGAGTGCATGAAGGTTTAAGCTGAATACTCTCGATTATGTTTGTTTTGACTAAAGATTCAGAAATATTATCTGAATTTTCATTACACGTGATTTGTCCGTTAACATCAGTGAAATTCCAAAGTAACTGAACATGTAGTAGAGGCAAGGCGATTTGTAATGGATTTTTTAGAGATACTTGAACAAATATTGGCTCTATAAAAAGAAATAAAAAAGTTTTGTGGCGAGGTTTTCAAACATCCATAAAAACATTCTTTTTAATAAAACAAAAAAACAAAAAATTACCATTTACTACAACAACAGGATTGTTTGTGTTGAGTGTTTTTTTAGAAAATAGATGAATAGTAGGCCGAAAAATCATAGGAGGACCTTGGGATTCAGTGATGGCTAATTCCTCCATTCTCGACCACCGTACACTATCTGCCGGTGAATCAGGTTCAAATGCTCTTAATAACGTCGACTTTGAAGATGAAACTAAAACAAGAACGCTGTTATCTTCAATAATAGGAATTGGCAGAGTGGTTAGGCCTTTGTTTGGCTCTTCATTTTTTAATTCCTGAAAAAAAAAAAAAACCAAAATGAAAAACTTTAAAAAAGAATTAAATAAAATAATTTTGTAAAATTTTTTTTTTTTTTTAAAACATTACCGAAAGCATTTGTAAATATTCTCTTAAATAAACGTCTTGTTGAGCCGGCGCTTGCTTGCTTTCGGGTGACAATAATGAAGCCAAAGAAGAAGAACCCTCATCTAGTAACTTTAGATTTCCCGCAAGTTTTCCTACAGTGAAATGAATATGATCCTCAGCCAAGCTCCAACCTTTGTCTTTATACAACTAAAACATTAATCACATTAGTAGTAAAATTTAGTTATCAAAAATATATCAAGTACAATTGATAAAAATACCTGGAATGCTTGCTTATAACATCTAAGAGCATGTTTTTTTTGACCTCCTTTTGAAAAACGATGCCCCGCTAGTACCATGTGAAAAGCATATTTTCTATACATTTTCGGTTTTGTAGAATATAAAAAACAATAAGATGCCTGTTCTAATAGTAAAGCACTTCGAAGATCAGAATCTTCGCTTGCCATTCTTATAAGTTGTTTCGCAGCTTCCCCGTACATAAAGCGATCTGCAAACATCAAAAGAAAAAAGGATAAATTTTTTAAAATTCTAACTAACCTAACTAAAATTCTAACTAAATAATAAATTTCCAAAAAAAATATTTAACAAATTATAAGTTTAAACCTACCTCTTAAAAATGGAGTGCTAAGCAAAGTTGCCCTTGTTGCAAATTGAGGCAATTTACAAGAATTTAAATAAATTAAAATGGCTTCTTCCATATAATCCAAAACTTTTTTTGTGACTTCTCCTTGCATAAAAGAAGACAAAGCAGCCATTTCAAGAGCACCTGCATAATATATCCACGCTTGATCAGCTCCAAAATCTCTTTTAGCCGAATGATAAGCCTTTTATTAGAGAAAAATAAAAATTTTTTAATTATAAATTATTTATGTAAAAAATTAATTTTAAAATAGTTAAGTACAAATAAACCTTATTTAAGAAGTCATTAATATATAATTTTTACCTGGAATGCTAAAGAATAATTAGTGAACATAAAATATAAATCTCCCAATTTTCTGAAGATTAATTCTGGAGAGTCGTAATTGTAAATAACTGAGTTCAAAGGAGCAGATCCAGGTGAACCCGGTTTAGATGTGCCAAAAAGTCTTTTTGTAGCACTTAATAATGATCTACTAACTCCTTTTTTGTTTGATGCCTAAAAAAATTTTAAATTAGTTAAATTTTATAAAGAATTCACTTAAACAAGATTTTGAAACTTACCATATCAGATAAGAAATAAATTTGCTTTTCAACGTGAGGTATTAGAACTTCAAGAGCTAATTGCTTAACTAATAATTTAATATTTTCTATATCTCCAAGACTTAGGCAAGAACCAAATTGAATGTTGTTCGTCACACTGAGCCACACATTATCATTCACAACTTTTGGCAACTCAGTCGAATTAGATTGATCAGCTTTAAAAAAAATTTTTTAATGTTCATCAATGTAAATACTAAAAAATAATTTGTATTAAAATCTAAGCACTTAAGATAATAAAAAAAGTTATCTTTCTAAATAACAATTTAAAAAATTATATTGCATACTTACAATTTAAAGAATTATATTGATTTATTTCTAAATCAGGGCTTAAAGGATGAAAAACAACAGGAGTTGGTGCATTTCCAAATTCTTGAGAAGTTTCCTGTAAATCTTTCGATTTAATATTCATTTCAGTTTCTGTAGCCACTGAATTTGGCATTCCTGAAATACTGTACATTTCTGCAGGAGTTCTTGGGCTACTTCCATGATCACTACCATCCAGATCTATATTTTTTCTCGATACATAATTGCTCCAAAAATCTGGAGTAGATGATGAATTGTTACTCTGGTTTTGTGAATTTATCTGAAATATACAATCAAAATTGACAAAAAAAAATTATATGACAAATCGGTTATGAAATAGCACATAACGAGAAACTGTAATACAATTTATTGAATCAACAAGTACCTAAGTAATTTGAAAAAAAAAAAAAATTAACTTACCTCTAAGAAAAAACAATGTTCTGAGCCATATGCTGTTTTAAGAGAATTGAAAAAATTTAATGCCTTTGCTCTATTTCCATCTTTTGAATCATGGATCAATACATAAAATTTAAATATAGATGATGAAAACCACTTTGGAAGTCTCGAAGGAGCGATTGCTTGCATTTGTTGTAAAGACTGTAGTAATAATTGCAAAGTTTCTGGAGGATCAACAGATGAGGTGACTAATAAACAACCTAATAAATGCCTTAAAAACTCGTGATCAGAAGGAAACTGGACTTGTAAAAAAGTGCTTTTCCAAGATTGAAACCATGGACATACTGCAGGCACTTCCAAAATTACTTTATCCATAGTCACTGTTTTATTGTCATATACAAAGTTATTGACTGATTCATTTAAAATTTTTTTGGCTAAAGAAGGTTGTGGAGGCCTGTCATTAACATCCTGAATATTAATTAATAATTTTTCGATTGGATGGTCGTTACCCGAAGGGTCTCGAAGGCGGTGTTCAATATTAACTAAACAAAAAGGACGAAGCATTTCCACAAAAGACAGGTTGTTTTTTTGACAAATTTGCTCAACTGAAGAACTGCTTAAACAACCCACCATAGGTGGAAACGAACGTTGAACATAAGAAAAAGGATCTATTTGCGACATTTTAACAACTTATTAAAAATTAAATAGTTAATTCGGCCACATTTTTACATAAATAACTATTCAAACAAAATATAAAAAAAAATTTTACAATTATTTAATACTGATTGAACTATATCTTTTTGACGCCATTGTTGCTCGAGTGAGGTTGGCCAACTGTGAAAAATTACAAGTTATCGTTAAAGTGCAAGTAATTATAAAAGGCGGGAATGGCTTTAGAGGTAAAACTTAAAAATCATTTATTAAAAAATAATTTAATATTCGAATAAAATTTTAAAGTGAATTATTAACATGAAGTTTTTTGAAAAGTTTTAATGTTTCAAATTTGTTTCCGTAATAAAATTAAAGTGATTATTCTCAAAGTATCATTTTAATACAACTCTTGGTTACTACCTATTTCAATACAATTTTTTATAAAAACTGTAAAAATTACAAAAAATGGTTATATTTTCCTTTTATAAAGATCTTTTAATTAAAATTGGAGAAGTAAGTTTATTTAAATAGTATCAAACATAATTTTATAAGAATGGAAGTAAGAGAAATTGTATTCGAAAAAAATTATTAATTAAAGTTTGGTTAAACGTTATTAACACTTTTCTTTGATTTAATTTAACTGTAAATGTTTTCAGGTTTTTTTTGCTGATTTTTTTAATTGTAAATTGGATTTAAAAAAGAAGAACAAGCAAATGGAAAAAAGTTTATTTCGACGCATGCTGCTTATATTACCAACTTCCACGCAAAAGTTAAAAAAAATTTTGGACGCAATCTCAAGTGCAAAATTTTTATTCAGTCGATTCGATATTTATAATGTGAACAAACGAAAAAAATGGCGAACGTAGAGTTTGGCACGGGTAAAACAGTGGTTATTTTGTCAATAGTCGCTGCTTGCTTCGCTGTATTATGGCCAAAAATATTTTACCCAATGCTAACCAGTATGGGAAAAAAAAATTCGGATTATGATTCTGGTAACAAAAAAAATAATAATTTTTCTTAATTTTTAAAATTCTCATTCGCCCAAAAATTAATTGTAATAAATGTTGCTTATTTAATAATTCTTATTAAAATACCTCAATCATTAAGTCATTATGTAATAGTTTAAGTTTCATTATTTAAATTCTCATATAATTTTTACTTGATTTAAATAATATTTTGACATCATTTTCTAAAAATAAATAATTTTTTTACACATGCTCTTGAAGCTCCAAGAAATAAATTAAAAATAAAATATGGCTTCATTAATTATTTTTAGAAATGTTTATCTTTTTTTATTTTATAATTTTCTGATAATGGCAAAATGTTTTTTTAAAATTGTTTATTATAAATAACTAATATGAAAAATAATAATGTAATTAATACATTAATCTAATTCAAAAATATTGTTAAATTATCATCATTATGAGTTATATAAGTAACTCATTTTGTATTTTTTATGTTACTCTGCAAACTAAATTTTTTTTGTAATATTCTAGATGTTAGTACAATCATGAAATTATATTTTTTTTTAAATTAATAAGTGGATAACTTATTTATTTAACAAAAAATAATTTAATATTTTTTGTAAATTGGAGTAACTAAAGCATATCATTAATTGTAATTAATTTTTTGCACATGTTTTATTTAAATTTTTAGCAGCGTTAATTAATTTTATTATATTTTTTTTTGTTAAATACAATTATGAAAAAAAATCATAGGATTTGGTTAAATTAAAAGCAATAATTCATTAATAAGTTATTGATTATGGTATTAAAATTTTATGTCATTGCTTAAATGAATTATTGCTATTTTTCAGGATGTTGTGATGTTTTATTTGATAATGATATCAACGCATTGAAAATAATAAATGAAATGTGCGGTACTATATTAAACCGCCATGAAAAATTTCATTCGAAATTATCCCAAACTTTCGAACAAGGGAAATTGAATAAGGAAATAATAACAATGTGTAGAAATGAAGTAATGAATATGTGCGGCATCGATATTGCTGAATTTTTAAATAAAAAAGAAAAACTAGGGCATTCTTATAAGCAAATGCTTGATGAAATAAGATCCTTTAATATATCAATTTGCTTAAGGCAAAATTTCGGTGTTAATCCTGGATTATTAGGAGCACCAAGAAGAATGAGAATTTGGGGTACTTCGTATCCAAGTAAGAAAGATTCCTGCGCCAGAGAAATAATAATAATTTTAACAAAAGTTTTTTGACAAAAAAAAATTAACTTACAAAACATAATTTTTATCGTGTTTGTTACTAATTATTTGTTTGTCATCTTAAAAAAAATTGTTTTTTGAATGTTTTTTGTTTTGTTTTGAAGCATCGTCAATGAATTTATTGATTTTTTTTTTTTTTTTTTTGGTTTTTATTATAAAATAATCGATATTTTTGTATTCACGTTTTAAAACAAAGTCATAAAATATTTATATAAATTAAATGACACGATTTTTATTCAAGGGCATTTGAGACAAGAACGTCCGTTACATTTTCGACCTGAAATGCTTCACCCAGCCTTAAGAGAAAAAGGTAGAGCCATTCCTCAAAGTCATTCAGTGCCTAAAACTTCATCATCTGAAAAAGATCAATCTACGAGAGTAAGTTTCAATTTTAAAAATTAATTGACACAAAAAAACATATTTTAAATATATTTAAAAATCAAAATGATTTTAATTTTATGCAACTTTTACCGTAAGCTAAATGTGTTTCATTGCCAATTCTATAAATAATTCAATGTTAGCAATAAATTAACGAAATTGTTTGTATGATTTTAAAACATGCCCCGCATTCTCTTGCATTTTAATAACAAAATTACTTTCCTGTAAAAATTCATAATAAAAAAAAATGATTAAAACTCCTGAAATTTTTTACGTTTCAGACTTTACCCGTGTCAAGCATGAGACCTCCAATGGGGGGTGCAGGACATGTGGTTCCACCCTCTAGAACTGGTGGAACGATGAATATTATAATGCCTTTGTATACTATCGGAATAGTAATTTTTTTCATGTACACAGTTATGAAGGTATGAAATATATATATTAAAAAAAAAATTTATTAAAATTTAGAATATTTGAAATATTTTTTTTTTTTGTGTTAAAAGGTGTTTATGAAAAAAACAAATGGCAGTAGTGAAATGAAAGATTTTACATCGGATCCAGAATTTCGAAGAGTTGTATTTTCCGATGATTACACCAATGGTTTACCGTCAAAAATCGAAGAAAGTATAAGTGATTCGTCAGAAAAGCAAAAAAACGTCGCACCCCAAATTTGGAAATCACCAGTTGACGATTCAACTAGATTAGGTATAATCAAAAAGTTTGACTAACTCTTAATAATTTAGTGTTTAATCCAGAAAAAAAAAAATTTTTTTTTTTTTTTTTTTTTTTTAATGCATAGGCTGGGAAGAAAGATGTACGAGTAAGTATGAGCAAATAACAAAAATTTTCAATATTTATTAAAAATCTTTGCTTTTATCGCTCTTACCGTAATTCTTTTCTTATGTATTAAACTTTTTTTTTTTTTTGGATTTGAAAAAAAAAAAAAAAAAAAAAAATTATATATAGGAAATAATGAAAATGATCATTTGAAAAAAAGACTCGAAGAAACGGAAAAAGCCATGGAAAGGATAGTAGCGACAATGGAAACGGTTCCACCCGAAATAATGATTAAAAATTTTAATAATTTAAATATAATTAATCAAAATAATTTAAATAAGGTTAGGATAGATTCCTGATAAACTAGCTTGCAGCATGAAAATTAGTCGATTATTTACAACAATAAATAGTATAAGGCATTGTAAATACGCATATTGCATTAATTTAATCACAAATAAGTAATGGCAGTGAATGAAAAATAAAAAAAAAAAATATTTCTACAAACAAGAGAACTTTTGCAAAGTTTTTTTTTTAACATTCACTGCAATTTCTTATTAATTTTCCCCCGTAATATTTTGAGTTTTTTCTTTTATAGTAATGTCTGCCATCACAGGGTTATTAACTGAAGTGGATCAGCATCTTAAAGTGAAGGGGGATACTCAGACTCAGTATAGTACAGAGTACAAGGTAGTTACAAAAAAAAAAAAAAAAAAAAAAAATTATTCTTATTTGGCAAGTGCATGCATAATTTTAAAATAAAATTGATTAAAAAAAAATGAATTGAATGCTGCATAATCATTATTATTATTAAAAAGTTTTATTTATAAAAAATAAAAAAAAACCTGTACAATTTATATATTTATTTATTAATTAAATAATGTATACTGCCTCTGAGTTCCCCTAATATTATTTTTAATAATAACCTTGTAGTATCATTTTTAGTATAAAATAACAAATTTTATTTCATTTGCACGAAAAAAAAAAAAAATTATAAATAAAAAAAAATAATTTTAGCTTATTTTTTTTTTTTATTTTTTCAGTGCATCGAAAGCTTAATTTCGTCACAATAGTAGAATGCACATAATTTAGTTTTTTTTTTTTTTTTTTTTTTTTTTTTTATGTAATGGCGAGCAAAAATATACACGTCATTAAATATAAATGTTTTATGTGTTAAATTTTTTCTTTCACATAATTAACATTAAATAATAAATCCATAGAATTTTTAAAAAAATTGAATTAAAATATAATTTAGTATGTAAATAAGTTTCATACAAGGGGTAAATTTTTTCTTTTTTTTTTTTTTTTTAGGGTAAAAAAGATGAGCCACAAGACACAGAAACGGAATCTTCAAAAAAAATACAGGAGCAGACGAAAAAAGATGATGATTTCGATATTGATTCTACAAGGGTAAAAAGCGATTTAGAAGGAGAGGAAGAATTCGATGAAACGAAGCCGAAAGTCAAAGTGATGGGATTAGAAATGATAGCAAAATGCGAAGGAGGTCAAAAGTGGAGTAGGCCGGCAACGCCGAATTTGGGAGTCGGCTCTCATAACAAACCTTCAACTCCCATTCAACCTCCTCAAGATCCTGAACCACAAAATATATTTTTAGAAGGAGCCTTACCTCAACAATCTCAACTTCTTGTAAGCGATTCCAAAACTCAGGCTCTTACAATTGAAAACGACGATGATTTAGACTCGCCCGTCATACTTAGCAGCAAAATGACATTATCATTGATAAGTTTAGATTCACCTGTGGAAGATGAAAAAAAACAACAAGATTTATCTCAGAAAACAGAAGATGAAAATTTATTTAGCGCGGATTCGACTTTACTAAATGTAGACAGCGTTAGTAATAATAATAATAATTACATGTAAATAATAATAATTATTGTTATTAAAAATAATTTGTTATTATCAATATTTTAGGAATTGTTAGATGGAAGTGGACGGGATTTGGAAGAAGATGAAGAAGGATTTAAAGAATCAAAATTATTAAAAAATGATTCAGAAGAAGATTTATCGAAAAATTACGTCACAGCTTCAATGAGTGGATTAATAAATAGCGATCAAGGTGTGGATTTAGAAGATACATCAGTCGATATGTCTGTATTAGAATCTTCAGAATGGCCTGAAGATCGAGTAAGTTCAGACATTTATTTAAAAATTTTTTTTTTTTACACTAAAATTTATCCGACATGTTTTATTTTCTTGTTTAATTATTACAGGAAGATGAAAATTCTCATTTGCCGAATGGCAGCGATTTAGAAAATCAACAAAGGGAAGATTTACAATGAGATGACATAAATAAAATTAATTAAATTCCATTAATTGGAAGCATTATTATTATTATTATTATTATTGTACGATAATATTTATTTACTTAAGAAAAAATTAAATTAAATTTTATTAATGAATTAATAATCTCGAAAGCAACAAATTTTTTAAATAAATTAATTACGTTAGAAATTATTAAATTTTTATCGGCGTAAATAATTCTTATTTAATCGAGTTAATAATAATATTAATTAAATAAATAAATAAATAATTGTGACGAGTTAGAAGAAAACGTATATTTAACGTCCGTTAAGCCATAAATAAATATTATGTATTATTTTTAATTTTTTTTTTTTTTTTTCGGTGCCAAATAATTCAGTAATAAAAATGGCGGTAAAATTGAAATTTTCACATACGTAAAAAGAGACTAAATTAAATAATAATAATAATTAATTGCATTCAATTTGAAAATAATTATTTTTATGTTTCGACTTATTAAATATTTATTTATTTATTTATTTTATTTATTGTCAAAATGGTATCCTTATAAACAAAAAAAAAAAAAAAATTATATTTAAAATACGTGCATGATATTTTAGTCGTAAATTAATAATAATATATTATGTATTTATTTAAAAATAACTTGAGAAAGAATATAAAAAGTTAATAATATTATTAATAAATAAATAAATAAATAAAAAAAATAAAATCGTTGAATTATTGTAGTTGTTTGATTACCGTAAGCTTAGAGTAAAAAAAAAAAAAGCAATTAAAAATTATTTATTTACTTATTTATGTACGAAAGTATTAATAAAAATAAATAAAAAATCCATTGCCGAAATATAAATAAATAAAATTATTTGTAAATAATTAAAGTGCTCTTGATTTTATTTAGTAATTAAATAAAAAAAAAAAAAAAAAAATTTTATACGGAGATAAAAACAAAAAAAAAAATATTTTGATACATATCTTTATCTCAATTATATAAAAAAAAAAATTTTTTTTTAATTACTGAAAATTTTACTTTTTTAACAAAAAAAAATTTTTTTTTTTTTTTTTTTTCCCAATTAGTATTAATTTTTTTTAACCGTTTATTTATTTATTTATTTATTTTGTTAAAAATTTTTTTCATCACCATCGCGAGTTAATAAATATGTTTTTTTTAATTTTCAATAATCTGTCAATTAATAATTTTTTTTTTTTTTGTTTTGGAAAACACGTTTGGAAAATTTTAAAAATTTGTTTTTTTGTTAAAAAAGTAAAACAAAACCTCGAGTACGATTAGTTATTAATGTTAATTTATGTAAGTTAATAAAAAATTTTTTTAATATACTATATTAATTAATTAATTATTATAATTAATTTAATTTTATTTACCTATTTGTTGTTCCACCGACGATATTTATATACGCAGGTATGTAAAAAATTAATAATAATTTAATTTTTTAAATTTATTATTATTATTATCATTCAAAAAGCAACAAATTTAAAAATTTTCTTTTTTATTCGACTACGACGTGAAACACCAAACTTTTAAAATTTTTACATTTGTTGAGCTACCAATGTAGCATACATTCCATTTTTACTTAAAAGCTCTCCATGAGTGCCAGACTGAAACATTTATAAATTATTATTTATAAGAATTTTTTTGTTTGTTTGTGTTGTTAAGCGTTTGTTGACCAACAAACGATCATTACCTCAACGATGACTCCGTTATTTAAAACTATAATTAAATCCGCATTTTTTATCGTGCTTAACCTGTGAGCAATAACAATTGTGGTCCTGTGTTTAGTCACAGCATCCAAAGACATTTGTAAAGCTTTTTCTGATTCTGAATCCAAAGCACTGAAATAATAATAATAATAATAATAATAATAATAATTTAATATGAGTCATTTTCACGATTCGCTCAAACTTTCTATTAAAATCTACCTCGTGGCCTCATCTAATATCAAAATCGATGGATTTTTTAATAAAGCTCTAGCAATTGCAATCCTCTGCTTTTGTCCACCGGAAACGGATACTCCTCTCTCTCCGACCACTGTATTGTAACCGTCGGGAAATTTCCTTATGAATTCATCGGCATGAGCCATTTTGGCTGCTTCTATAACCTGAATTATAAATAATGATAATTATAAAACGAAATCAAATTGTTTAATAATTTTTTTTTTTAACTAAAATTTTTCATTAGACTTTCCTCTTCATCGGAAGCGGATTGTTTTCCGTATCGAATATTTTCTAAAACTGACGTGGCAAATAGAACCGGTTCTTGACTAATAAAGCCAACGACATTTTTACGTAGCCAAGTAGGGTCTAATGTTTTTATATCTTCTCCTCCGATTAAAATAACACCTTCTTCGACGTCGTAAAACCGTTCCAACAACCATGCCAGGGTAGACTTTCCGCTACCGGAAGATCCAACAATGGCAACTGTTTTTCCTTCAGGTATATACAAATTAATGTTTGATAAAACGTCCTGAAAATTTTATGAAACCACAATCAATTTTATGATATTCCCAGTCGAACAGATGCAAGTATAAATATTTTTTTTTAAAAAACTTACTTGATTCAGACGGGAAGGATATGAGAAAACAACATTTTTAAATTCGACGTTTGGTAGTAATGAGTGATAAGGTATTTTTTTACCAGAACCTAAAGTTATTCCTGGCGGTAAATCTATCATCTAAAGTTAAAAAAAATGATTTAACTTAAGAATTATTTCCTCCTTAAACAAAAAAAAAAAAAAAAAAAAATAAAGAATTTACTTCAAAAACTCTAGCTCCCGCATGTTTTCCTTTTATGTAAAATCCATATAAAACGGACATTTGAGTAAAAGAACGTTGAAGTAATTGTACTGATACAAGAAAAGCCATTAAATTACCAGCAGTTATGTTACCAATTGACATCATGTATCCTCCGATATAAATTGTACCTAGCACCATGGCGTTTAAAAAGAAATTGCTTCCAGCCTAAATTTTTTAAATATCAACAAAATAAAAAATTCCATTACTTTTATAAATAAATTACACACACACAAAAAAAAAAAAAGAAATTTTTTACCTGAAGTAAAGCTATTCCATACCCTAATTCTGTATTTAATTTTTCACATTTTTTTGCTTCTTCATTAAAAATATTATATTCTACATCCTCCATAGCAAAAGATCTAACTGTTCTCACATTAGAAATAGCTTCTTCAGCTGTCAATGTAACTTTAGCACACTGTGATTTAGCATGATAAGAGAGTTTTCTGAAACATTTTTCCCCGAAAAAATTTTAAAAAATGATTTATGTATAATTTTTTTTTCAAACTATTATTTGATTTAGATTTAAAATTCACCTCAATTTAGATCCCACAATATTTCCACATATAATCCCAGTAGGCACAATAAATAAAGAAATTCCAGTCATGGCAGGCGATATTAAAAACAATGAAATTGCACACCCAATAATTTGTGTTAAATTTTTCAACCCTTGAGAAATCACCATTTTAAAAGAACTTTTAAAATCTTGAATATCAACTATTAATCTGTGCAAGATAAATAAGAAAAATAATCGCATGTACTAATAATATATATTCATTTTGAAAAATTAACTAGAGTAAATTTATTTAATACAAAATTAAACTGTTTTGTAAAATAAGTTGAAGTTAATTTACACTCACATATTTAATATTTCTCCGGATCTGTTTAAATCGAAAAATTTCATATCCTGTTTCATAATTGATGAAAACATGGCAGTTTTCATTGTCCTAGCCATTCCCTCACCAATATTTGACAATAAAGCAATATAAAAAAATGTAAATAAAGATTGCAATGAAAAATATGCGATTATTTTAATAACTGGCTTCTTAAAAGAAGTTAAGAAGCCATATTAAAATTGCGTTATTTTAATAACTGGCTTCTTAACTTCTTTAAAAAATTTTGCCCATCTGATGGATTTTTAGATAATATTTCAACCAATACACCAAGTGCCCTAGGTATTTGAATGTTTAAAGCTGCACATATTATAGCAGCCTAAAATTTCAAATGCATGTTTTTTAAGTGTTTCAAATTATTTTTTAATGTAATCACAAAAAAGACAAAAGTAAATTTACCAAAATTGCTCCTAATAATTCAAGCCAATAAATCTGCAAATATTTGAAAAATTTGGTCCAATTAAAATCTGATTCTTTTACAATATTTTTTGTACTGACTAATCTTGATCTATGTTTTTCCAAACAAAACACTGTATTATCACGGACTAATTTTAAACCTAAACTAGAAAATAATCCAATACCTAGTTTAATATATATTGATACAGGCTTATCTGCGGTTGAATGTAATTTTCTCTTCGTAAAATGGTAATGCCATTTAGTTGAGGGTTTTAATTTAAAACTTGGAACTTTTACTGATTTTACTTTAATAAAAAATTTCTTAAAACTGGAACAAAAAAAATTAACTTGGTATATTAAATTATAAAATATAAATTCTTATGATATACGAAAATCTCACCTAAAAAGTGAGTTGACTGTTTCTGTACTGTGAATATTGCATAGCCTTATTAAATTTGCCATAACGACAATTAGTTGTCTTTAAAAAAGAATTTTAAAAATCATAAAATCTATGTAAGTGCTAGAGCAGACTACTTGTATTTTAATTATAATGCGCCATTTTTAATTAAATACAAAAAAATTTATGTTGGCAACAACTTTTATGGTGACGAATGGTGTTGTCGTGTTACTATCTAATTTTAAAAGTAACGGGCATTCTAATAAAGGTAGAATGGTTAAATTTAGGTTTTTTAATTAGGTTTATTTAATCGTATATTTTAAAAGAGACTTAAAACTTAAGAGATGTCTAAGTCACCTACATTATTTTCTTCTGATGACGAAGACGAAGGTAATTATTTTGAATTTATTGGTATAGTTCAGTTTACCCGCAAAATTGCAGTGCACACAGTTTTAAGGTTTTACTTAACATTACTAACCCGTAATCCACTTAAAAATTTTCTCTAACTAATTTGCATACCAAATCTATAAAATTTAGATTATAAATTTTATGTGGAGCTGATTTTAATTTATTTTTTGTTTTCAACAGAGCGTGAATTAGAAGAAAAGTTACTGAAAAAGTTCCAAAAAATGCTACATGGAATACCGCCACCGTCTACAATTACCTTATCCAAACTTACTGCTTCTGAAATTTTAGCAAAGTACAAAGAAAATATAAATCTTATAGGTACAAATGAAACTACCTTCAAGTCGTCCAGAAGGAACCAAAATAAAACTCCATTAGTTTATTAGTGAGTTCGCTAATCTTTATTTGCAGGTCATTTGTTTTAAATAATAATTTAAAAGAATTTACTTTTAATTTTACATATTTTTTTTTCACAGTCATAACTCTTCTAAAGTCTCAGAAGATATAGCCTATCTTTCTCAAAAAGTTGTTTCACGCTATGTATATTTTGAAACAATGTCATCTTGCAATATTTGGTTTGATTCATCATTACCAAAAAATAATGTTTTACAACAACAATCTAGAAAATATGTAAATGGAAAATCTCCTGGTAGCAGACTAAGTCATTTAGCCAAGAAAAAAAGATTATTTTCTTTGGAAAATTTACAAAAATTAGAAGATTCTAGTAAAAAACACATAATCGAAATCGAGTAAGTACACACCCAGAATATTTTCTTCAAACTCACAATGGATGCTTAGTAAAATCTAAAAAAAAAAAAAAAAAAAAACAAATTATTTTTATTTTATGAATCATACTAAACAATGATTATTTATTTTTATTCTACCCTTTTTTTTTTTTTTTTTTGTAAATATTATATTACTTGACCTTTATTCTTTTTTCTTTAATTAAATTATTTACACATAATTGATTGTATTGTGAAAAAAAATTATTTTTAGAAAACCAAACATGAACAAAAGGAGTTTCATTAGTAATTGTATGGTAGAATTTGAAAAAAGGAATTCTTTTAAGAAAGCATTGTTTGTTAATTCCGATGATGATGATGATGAGAAAGAAGAAGGACCAAAACCCAAGAGATTTTTTTCTAGTCAGCAAGAAATAATATCAAATAAAACAATGCCAATCAACAATTACAGACAAAATTGGTTTTCTCAATTTGATAACAGCCCAAATATATTAGAAAGAAGAAGACCAAATAGAATCAAAAGATAAAAGTTCCAAAATGGCCTAGAAGAGCATTGACATTTACAGAGAAAGAAACGAATAAAAGTCAAGAATCAGAAAGTTCTGATTCGAATATATTATCAGAAATACAAATGAATTTACATCATAGAACTGTAAGTTTAATTAATTTTTTTTTTTTTTAATGATTTTTCAAATAACGTTTTCCTGACTGAATTATTTTATTTATTTTTTTTCAGAAAATATTATGGGCTGTTTCTGTGGCGCTAAAAGAAAAAAAAATAAATTCAAATCATTGTCAATTCAAATCCTACGCTTCATCTCTTTTTATAATCTGTAAAAAAAATTTAAATAAAATATTAAGTTCAGGGAGTGTCGAGGATAGAACGAGTGATAAAATACTCTCGTTTGCACGAGATCACGTCGACGACATATTGAAAAAAATAAACGATTCCAACGAATCGGGGCTTATTAAAATCAACGTAAAAGACTCCGTGAAAAAAAAATTATTTTCTGAAAATAATTGCGATTTAAATTCGTTAAATTTAAATTCGACAAAAAAACAAAACAATGGAGATGATTTACTACTAACTGAAAAAAAAATTTCATCGCCTTTTAAACCGATAATAACCTTACATAATAACGAAAAAGAAAATTTAACGAGTGAAAATAATAATAATAATATTGATTTTTCTTCTTGATTTTTCATCGTCTGATTTTGTTTTTAACGAATTTTATTATTATTAATAAATTTAAAAACTTTTCTTTTTTATCTAACTTCCATTTAACTATATTAAATAATCGGGATTATTATTAAATAATTAATTTTTATTTTATTATTAAAAAGAAAATTTTTTTTACTAGTTAATTTTTAATTTAAACGGGGAGCTTATAATTATTTATTATATTTTGTTTTTTTTTTTTTTTTAAATGAAATTTTAAAAGGTATAAAAATGTAATGATAAAAAAAAAAAAGACAAAACAAAAAATTTTTTAATTAAAATTACTTTATTAATAAAAAAATAAATTTAATTTAATTTAATTTAACGATTTAAATTTTAAAACATTTTTATTTATTAACCGAATTAAATTTAATTAATAATAATTAACAAATAAAATTACATAATTATATATAATGAATTTGGCATTTATTTATAACGTAATAAAATGGATGAAGAGCGTTTAATAAAATATTAATTTAATTAATTTAAGTGATGGATAAATATGAAAAAATTTTAATTGATAATGATTAATAATAATAATAATAATAATTTAATATGTGTAAAATTTGATGAGATTGAAATGAGGAAAAAAAATTGTTATTCTTTTGTTATTATTAATCAAGGTCATTAAATGAAAAAAATTTTTTTTTTTTTTAATAATAATAATAACTGTGTTTTTTCATAAATTGATACGAAACATGTAAATACTCTTATCAAAGGCGTTTTAAATAACACATTGCGGTTTATTTACAATAAACTGACAAGGAATATATCTCTATTAAAAAAAATAAATTTGTTACAAAAAAAAAATTTTTTTTTTTGGTTTTATTGTGTCCTAAAAATCCCGTCTCTACTTATCATTGCAAACTAATACGGAAAGACTCGCGATCAAACGTTGTCTTTTATTTATTCGTTTGAAATGCGTGCGTGTGTATGTACGTGTGTGTATGTGCGTGCGTGTGCGTGAAAATGCGTACGTTGATTTTTTTTAAAAAATCTGTTTTAATTTTTTTTTTTTTTTTTTAAACGAATTATTAATATTTTCACGTGTCAGTTTTTAATTTTTAATTATAAACGTACGATTAAATAAATTTTTTATTTTTTTTTGTTAATAATTACACGTGCGAAAATTTTTATTAATTTAAATTTTTTTTTTAAAAGAATTAATATTTATGTAATTATTATTATTATTATTATTATTTGATCACATGGTTGATGAACAGAAAAAAAATAAAAAAATGAAAAATTATGTTTTTGATAATTTATTTTTGGATGAAATTGAAAATTACGTACAACTCACGTACCTGAAAAAAAGTGATATCGTTTAGTGAGTATAATTAAATTGATTTTTTTTTTTTTTTTAATTTTTGAACTTGGCATAGAAAATTAATTCTTATAAAATAATTTTGATCCGTGATCTTGAAATAAATAAATATGATACCTGTTTGTAAAGGTATATCACATGTACCTAATTATTACAAAACAAATTTTTAATTTTTTTTAAAAAAAAAAAAAGACAATTAGATCACGTGAAAAAAAAATTTTTTTTTTTTTCTCATTGTAATTTTATATAATTTTCCCCTTTATGTATTTATTATTATTATTATTATGATTATTATGATTATTATTATTATTATTAAATCGAAGGTAATCCTCTTGAAATTTATTTTATTATTCATTATTAAAAAATTTTTTAAATTTTTTATTCATTTATCAATAAGTTACGTTATAAACAAAGAAAAGAAATCGATTAGTAATTTTTTTTTTTTTTTAAATAATAATGATAATATTTGAAGTGTATAAAAAATATTACTGTTAAATATTATTATTATTATTACTATTAAACTTGGACTTGAAACATTCAAAACCAAATTAAGAATGGGCAAAAAAAAAAAACCAGTTCTTGACTTTTTTTTTTTTTTTTTACATTTGCCAAAAGTTAAATACCAAATGTGCTGAATCATTTATTGATTTTTTTTCTTTTTTTTTATCGATCCAATTTAGAAAAAGGAAATTTTTGGAAAATTTTCACAAATAGAAAAAAATCTCATGTTTTAAATTTAAAATTAATTTTAAACAATAAAAATTTATACCCAAAAACGTTAAGTGTTTATTATTAAACATAATGAAAAGCTAATTATTTTGTTATTAGTTTTGTTTTGTTTAAAAAAATAAAAAAAAAACATGTTTTAGGCATTAGTTAGTTAGTTAGTTAGGTTAACACTTAATTAAGTTTAGTGATAATCCAAAAAAAAAAAAAAATACAGGTATTATTATTATTAAATGATTTTTTTTTTATTTTTTTTTCTTTTCTCCCCTCCTCCCACGCAGCATTTATTGTCGTTTTAAAGAATTAGGACAAGAAGTAACGACAAATATACATCATAGATTTGATAAATCAAAAATATTAGAAATATTCCCTGAATTAAAATATAATCCATTCATCGATCGATTATTTAAAACGTTTTCATCATTGAAAGATGATAAAATGTCATTCGAAGACATGTTGGATTTAGCATCGGCATTTTCCGAAGATTGTCCAATCGACGTCAAAGGAAAATGGGCATTTTTAATTTTCGGTAATTATTTCTTTTTTTTATTTTCCAAAAAAGATAAAAACACGATTTTATAGTTGTTTGGTTTTTTTTTTAGATTTCGACGAGGATAATTTAATTAATGGCGAAGATATTGTAGAAATAGTTAACAGGCTTACAATGAAAGGATTGAATGATGAAAATGATGGTGAAGATTTGGGAGAAGATGAAAAAAAAAAAGTTGCCGAAATAGTAAGTCAAAATCAATATTGATATTTTTGTAAAATGGTAAATATAAAAACGTTAATTAACGGAAAAATTTTAAAAAAAAAATCAACCGTTTTTTTTCTCTTACAGATACTTAACGATACGGTTTTATGCAATGCTGATGGTATTACATGCGTTGAATTTATTAATATATTAAAAAAAATACCTGAATTTTTATATGCGTTCAGAATAAAATTTTTATGACGTTAAATTAATTATTCTCTCACAGTTGTAATTAACACTTGAAATACTCAAAAAACAAAAAACAAATTTTAACATCAAAGTAAAAGGGATAACACAACAAATTAACAAAAAAAAAAAAAATTATCGTTCGATCAAGTTAAAACAAATCGATAGATCGATATATCGATTGATAGTACGATTAATTATAGAAGGCCAACAAGGTATGAAACGACGGCTATCGTGATATTTTTTTTTTTTTTTGTTTTTAAAAGGAATTAAATTAATTTCTTAAATTGTTTTTCAAACGATGAGTAATCAATTATTTTTTTTTTTTTTAGGTAAGTGCCATTTTCTTTTGCCAACAAACAAAGAAACAAACACGTCGTTTTTCCATAAAATCAAATATTGATATTTTGGACGCCATTAATGTTGGAAAAATTATTATTAGGTATAATGTGGAAATGGAATTTTCAATGGGAAGAAAGAAAATTATTCAGCTTTTTTATTTTTTGAAAGAATAAGTTTTTAAATTTGGGGTGTAGTGTGCAAAAAATTATTACTGAATAGTGAAAACGTGAGTGCCATAAATTTGGTTCTAAAAAAAAAAAAAAAAAAAAATTAAAATTTCAATATCGATTAATTTATTACCTAATTATTATAATTATATTTTTATATTTATTTATTTAATTAATAAAATATATATTTGAATAAAGACCAAAAAATGTTTCAAATTTATTTAATTGAAGTTCACATATATTTTTTTTTTTATTAAATGGTTACATTTTACAACGGTTTTTGTTATCTGTTTTGTTAAATACTGTTTATTAATATTTCTGAAAAAACTGGAAAATGTTGATATTATGAATTGAATAAATGTTTCATCTTGGAAATTTAAGATCTGGATAAGGATCACGTTTTCCTACTAGTCTTCTAAATGGTTCAAATGGTTCTATCCAAGGTTTTTTATTTGTCAATGGTAGCAAAAGCGGTTGTTTGTATTTAACATACATTTCTGGGAATTGTACATATGTTGAATTTAAATCAGGTGGAGGTGACCAAGAATGTATATCCTTTTCGAAATAGTCCATAGGATGCAAATGACCTGTATTGTCATTGCTGTATTGTCTTTGAAATTGACATAAAATATAAAAATCATCGATATCTTTTATTTTATTTTGATCTTTAAATGTTAATTTAATATTAGGCTTTGAAAACATTTCTTCCCATCTTTGTTTTCGATGACTGGGTATTAATTTTGGATGAGGTGAATAAGCATCTACCTCTTCACCCCATTTGTACATTTCAGGCTGTAACATTTTAGTTAAGTGAGTTGGTAACAATAATTACAGTTACATGTTTAAAACTTTTAGGGTTAAAGCATAAAAAATATTTTAATTGATAAATGCTATCAACAAGTTCTACATTTTTGACATATTTAAACAAATTGAGGTTAAAATTGACATTTTTTTTTTTTTTTTGATTAGTTGTTGTTATACCGAAAGCCCTGTTTTATCAAAAAATAAAAATAAAAAACTTTAATACTTACCAAATACTTTGAAAGATCATTTTTTCTATAGTTAAGAAAAAAATTTCTTTGTGCTCCCTCCACTCTACTCTCCGGACCTTCATTTATCGGGGGGTATATCGACAAAAAAGTTTCAGGTAAACTTCTAATATGATAAGTTATTCGTCCACCTTTGGTCTTTGGCTGTAATACTGTAACCATATTAATTTTTTTCCTTTTTTTTTTTTTTTACAGAAAATAAATCACGTAATAAATTTATGTTTTGAATTTAGAAAAATTTAAATGTGAGAACTTTAAAATAACGGAACGATTCGAATATTTTTCCGCCATTTTTATTTTTAATACACAAAATAAAAATTTTAATTGAAATCATGAGTTGATTAGATTTTATAATTATAATAATGAGTTGATTTTCAAAAAAATTATCAGAATTAATCTTAGAATTTGTCATAAATAAAATTTAAGACAAGAGTTAGCTACCTAAACAAGAAAATTTAATAAAATAATAAATTTCGAATAACATTAAGAAATGAATTTTTGTTCAATAATTATTCATAGTTATGTAATAAAAATATTTTTTATTTGATACCACCATATTAAATAAAATTCATAATAAAATTAAAATTTTAAAATTCCCACAGTAAATAATTAACATTGTAAAATATTTTACTTATTGAAAAAAAAAATCTTTAGAAAAATTTAACTTCTTTCACCGGTTTCTTATTTACTCATAACAATAGGATTTTTTTTTAAAAGATCTTCTGCTTCTAATCTTACCTGAAAGACACATAAATCGAAAAAGTCAATAAATAAATAAAAATTGTTTTTTAAAATGAAAACTTTAAGGATAAAGTCTGTAAAGTTAAATACTAAAAAGAATTCTAAAAATTAATTTAATTGAATTATGTTGTAAAAATTATGTAAAGTAATTATTTAACTTACTGCTTCATCTTCATCTGTTCTCACAGGATATGAAGTAGCACATTTCAACCAATATTGAGCAGTTTCTAATCTTTTAAGTTTCAAACAAGTTTTTCCTAGCATTAACAAATTAGCGCTAAAAGTTTAAAAGAGTAAATGTTTTTATTAAAAAGTATAAAATATAAACATTTTGAAATTAAAAGTTTTTTTTTTTTTTTTTTAAGAGTTTACCTGTAAAAATTTGGTTCTACTTCTTCTGCTTTACTAAAATATTGGAATGCTTCTTCGAATGAGGCTTCAGGTGGAGTACCAAATAATGCTTTTGCTATTTTTACTTGTAACCAAGACATATCGGCAATGTTATACATGTATAAACCTAACATGTACATTGAAGTAGCATCTTTCGGATTTAATTCTATTGCAGTCTGTAACAGTGTAAGGATTTTTATAAATTTGTGTTTCCTTCATGTTTCATTGTATCTTTTTTTTTTTTTTGAAAATAAGTTAAAATTTTATGTTATTTTATGTTGTAGGAAAAAATATATTAACATTTACAATTTATTGTCAGTCTCAAATGGCATATAAATTTTTCTTTTCTAACTGAAATTTTTTTTCGAATAAGTATTTAAAACAACTTTTTATGAAAATAATACTGAATAATTTGTTGTTTATTACCATTAAATGCTTTTTGAAAGTAGGCAATGTATTTATTCTTGATTTTATTCCTTCTAAAGAACTTTTGGCATCAACCAAAATAGCCATCCATTTATGAACTGCATTGTGTTTGTCATCTAATCTTAAAGCTTTATCGATATGTTCGAATGCCTCTTTGATCAAGGTTGCCTTAGTAGACTTGTCAGTGGTCTTCTGTTTAGTTATGTTATATAATCCCCTACTCAACCTCCATAAAACCTCTACATTTTCTGTGTCCTAAATTATAAAACTAAAAATTAAAAAGCTTTAAATCATGCATAAAATTAAAAATTTTTATTCCCTACCTGATATTCTAATAAAACGTCATAGCTTTCTTTAAATTTACCAATTTGAAATAATTCATCTGATTGCAAAATGGCTGCATTAACATTTTTCTCAACTTGGGGAATTTTTCCTTTATCAGATAAATTTAAAGCTTCCTTTGAATCAGCTTTGTTTAAAGGTAAAAAACTCATTATTATAAAATTAAACAAAGTTTTTACTTTGCAAGGCTGTACAACTAATGGTTGTCTCTATAAAAAAAAACCAAAAAAAAAAAAAAAAAATGATTTTTAAAAATCTCCAATTAAAAAAATATTTAATTTCAATTATTTACCTTAAGTAAACGAACGGAATTTTTTTGAATGACACTTTTAACAATATTATGAAAAATAAAAATTCTATAACTCAAGACCATACTAATATTAAATATTAATTATGGCCATGGAAAACATTAATAATTATAAACAAAAAAAAAAAAAAACACAATAATTTCAAATAAAAAAAGTTTTGCATTAAAAATAATTTTTTTTATGTAATTTTCCTTCTACTGAAATAAAACATTTAATTAAAGTATTTAATAAATTATCTAATTACAAAGTTCAGACAGATAATTTTTTTTTTTCGTGGAAGTAACTTTTAGTAGTTAGTTTTTTTATCGTTATTTACACGACAGAACTTAGACTAGGACAGTTTAGTATTTTTAAATTAAGTTAAGGTATTAAAATGAGATATTTTTTCTTTTCGCCAGTTAAGACACAATTAGTGTCTGGTAAAATTTTAAATAACAAAGTGCTCTATAGAACACTAAGCAATTGCTTATGTAAGCGTTCTCAAAAATTTAGAGACACCAAAACATTTTACTCTGGTAGATTTGAATGTACACAACAATTATTTAGCAAACATTTATTTTATATTAATGATAAATATTATTTATTTGATTGTTCGAAAAGAAATTTTTCCGTGCATAGCAAAACTCCTCATCCTTTAATGGATATGAACGTGGTCATGTCTCCTAATTTTTTCCAATCTCTTCGTATTATGTTCAACTCGTACCTGATAAAAAACTTTGATAAAGAATTTAGTATAGTCGAGTTTTTAAATAATTCAAAATTGGCTGTATCAGTCGTCACAAATCTTATTGCTGAAATGAAGTTTTCAGAATTAGATGGTTTACTTACTCATGATTGTAAAACTGAAGTTGAAAAAAATATAAAAACAATGGACTCTGCTGAAAGGCTTAAATTAGCTATTAATGTTGAAGACATAATGCAATTTTTTCCTTGTCAAGCAGATATAATTAAAGGTAAAATATTTCGAGTAGTTTGTTAAAATGTTAAATTTTTTTTTATTTTCATTTACATTTTGGTAGAAATTATGAAATATTAATATTTAAGCACTCATACATTATATTGTATTAATTATATATTTTAAAATATGAAAACTGTTTTAATTAACGAATACTCGTTAAATAATTAAATAAAAATATTTTAACATGGTAATACAATATCTGAATATGTTATTCAGGTGGAGATCAAGAAGAAAAAACATTTTTTCAAGTAACAGTTGTTTATTATACATGCAAAAATTTACCTAAATATCAGAAAAAAGATCTGTTTTCTGCAGTTGCCGAGATTCAAGCAGATATGGTTACAATTTACAATTGTAGATTTATCAAAGAGTTTACCAAAGGAGTTGTCGATCATTGGATCATAAATGGAATTAATTATAGTAAATTACAAGAAAACACAGCCGTAAAACAATATCGATAATTTTTTAAAAATAAATCAAAATAATAATTTATAAGATTTCATAATTATTTAAATTTACAATATAAAAATATAAAAGGTTGAAAACTATAATTAAAATAGTTTTGTAAACTCTAACTCAAGTAGGTTAGAGTTTGTTTTCTATTATCTTAGAGTTTTGAAATCGTTTTTGAAAAATAAAAATGCAATGAAAATTATTATATATATATATTTAGGCGATTTTAAAATTTTTATATATTGAATTAGTAGTATTTAAATAAAAAACTATTAACTTTATTTTATATTATTATTATGTGTTCATAAAATTTTTAAATTAAATATTATTAGAAAGAAAATTAGTATAAGATTTTAAAAAATAGTGTTTTGTATTTTGTACTCGAGTAATTATTGTTTTTATTTTACAGTCGATTTTTTTTTTTTTAAAAGCATGATTTGGTAAGGTACTTTTATTATATATTCACCACTAATTTTTTTATTAATAAAAATTAATTTCAAAATAAATTGTATTAAATTTTTACTTTATTTGAATAAATGTAATGTGTTAACTAATAAAGTTTTACTATAAGGAAACTAAATTTTGTTTTACTAAATTATAAGTACTTGAAAGGATGTTTAAAAAAAAAAAAAATTTTAATCATATCAAGAAAGTTTTTAACGTGTGAAACTATTCAAAACTTAAATTTATAAAGCCTTTTAAGTTATTATCAATTTAAAAAATTTTTAATGGTATTTTTAAACGAAAAAAAAATTAGAAGCATAAATCAAAAGTTTTAAATAAAATCGATGGAATTTATTAAAGAAAAAAATATTTTATTGATAAAATAATAATTATTTTTATGTGCTTTAGATACTTCATATTTAAGAAATTATTTTACAAAAAAAAAGGAATATTAACAGGGTGTTAATGCCAAGGAACTTGATTTGAATGATTTATAGTACCTAATTTATAATACCTAGCTGCTCCTTGTGGCGATATTGTTGATGTTGCTGGTATGGCTATAGCAGGAGATGGTTCAGATTCGGCTTGAGTTCCGTCACCCTTTAAAACTGCAGCACATTTCCATACATTTTTATAGTTTGCTAAAGTATAAAAAATAGAATTTATTTTTTAAAGTACTTGGAGTTCATACACTTTAAAAATTAAATAATTTTTTTTTTTACCTTTCCAAAGTCTTACACATCCATCATCTCCAGTTGATGCCAATACTGTGCCAGTTATATTCCATGTTACTCTCCAAACACTTGAATAATGATCTTCAAATTGTGCTGCCGATTCAATTTCAAATCTTGATGATCCGCTTGATACACTGCTGCTTTCTCTAAAAATAAAACCAGCTCAATTGAGTATTTTAAAGTTAATTCAAAATGGAAAATGATAAAAAAATTTCCAATCAAATATTTTACATAAATTAATTATCAATTTTTACCTAATAGTAAAAACTCTAACATCTTTTGTAGCAACAGCTAACATGTGATAACTTCTACCCATATTGGGAGCAAAAGAAATATCATGAACAGGATCTTGTACCGAAGATAAAGTTTCAGATTTAATCCATTTTCTAGAATTTTCACTATATTCATATAAAAATACTTTTCCCCCATTAGAACGATTTGAATCATCACTTCCTATTGCCAACATCGGAGGGTGGTGCCTAAATAAAGTAGAGAATAACAGTTAATAATGATAATTTTTATGTAAATAAATCAAAATAACTTTGAATGAAATGATGGAGCAATCAAACCTTGAAAGAGATGTGTTCCAGCTAAGGCAACTGCATGGTAATTTACACAATATTTCATGCTGCAAAGACCATTGACTTAAATTCATTATGTCTGGAGCTTCATAAATTCGAACAACTCCATCGGCTGAACTAGTGGCCAAAATTAATCCTAATGATTTCGGACCAAACTTAACATCAGTAACGGAAGTTCTAGAATCTACTAAATTAGTCCTTCGTACCCAATGTCTCATTCCTCTTTCACCCGAACCCATGCCTTCTCCAACTAAAAAAAAATAAAATAATAATAACTTAGAAGAACTAACAAAATTTTAAAAATTTTAAATGAAAAAAAACACCAACTTATTTCTTCCCATACTGCAGCAGTTCTGTCAAAGGAACAAGTAGCTAAAACCTGACCAAAATCAGGATGTGCCCATGTTACTTTCCAAACCGAACCACTATGAGCTTTCCAATTAGCAGTTAAAAGCCAATTTTCTTCCTCATCCTGATCCCACACCTACAAAAATAAAACGAAACGATTATAAAATTTATAATTTTTAAATCATTTCTAACTAAAATAAAAAAATTTACTTTAACGAATTGATCACTCGAACAAGTCGCCATACGTTGACCGTAAAAATCATAAGCGACATCGTGAATTAAATCTTTATGTTCAGCTTCGATACTTTGAGCTTCAAACATTTTATTTTAAAGTTGAGTCTAAAACGTTTATTTCTCCTTCCACGCCTTTTTTTTCTTTTTCGAATAAAAATGGCGCTTAAATTTATTTGAATTTTTAACCGCCATAAGTTTAAATTATAAAAAACTCTGTGTAAATTAATTTAAATTTAAAAAAAATTAACTCGAAAAAAAAAAAGTTTTAATTTTTTTTTTTTTAAATTTTATTTAATTAATAATTTACGAAAGTATTATTTCATAATTATAAAAAAAAAAAAAAATTGTAATTATTCAAATTCGTGTAACCGAAATAAAGTCTTTTTTGGTTCATTACACAACCTTAATAGATGAGTTTTTTATTATTAATAAAACGTAAAACAAAGTCATTTAAAAAAAAAAAATTTAAGTAAAAAATTTTAAAAATAAAAAAAC